CTCCCCCCCCCCCCCCCCCCCCCGCTTTAGGCCCTGGAACCTTTTTTTTTTTTTTTTAAACTATGTTCTCTGTATTGTCTTGGCTAACTGTTTCTGTCTGGGAAGAGAGGGCTGAGCATGGATGATGGGGCTTTTGCATGAACCACCATCATCCAAAGGGTGCTGATCTGTGTCTGATGCCAAATAAACTTAACCTGGAGTCTAGGCAGTGCACAGTTGGTGAGGGGGCAAATCAGGAGTGGTGGTGAATACGCTGTTACATGTTTGCAAGCTTCAGCCCAAGCACTTCCTTCTCTTCGACCGACCGCTTAGTGATGGGAGGCTTCCCCAGCAAAGACATTGCAGCCCAGCTTTTGTAGCCCTTGTGTAAACAACAGTAGATTGAGCTGAACGTCTTTGCAATTATTGACCCCGTTAATTATCCAATAGGCAGACATGCATAATCATTGGAGTCCATTGGAAATACTGTGCTGATAGCCAGCTACAACTGACTCCATTACCTAAGAACAGGCAAGGACACCTTCAGGAATACAAATTTCCTGCTTTTCCCCCTTTTTTTTGTTAGGCATAAGACACCACTGCTGAGTCTCCCTGTTAGCCTTCATATGCAGAATACAAATGATCAGAATCGTAATCTGCTTGCTGGGGTGGGGGTACTTAAAGCAAGCTGTGTACTAGTGTAATCCCTATTCACTTCAGAGGGGCTGGTGTGGGTGAGATTTCCAGGGGATTCTGCCTCTCTTAATAGCTGCCACCACCATCCCCCACAAGCTATTGCTCACCTTTGAGATAGGCCTGGTGAGTCAAGAATGATTGAAATGTTCTGTGCTTTCCATCCTTAAAACTCCCACTAAAACAAAGCTGACTTTGTACAACCTCTATCATCTAATGATGCACCTTATAATAAGATGAGGGCCATATGCACCACTGCACTTGCCTTGTGCTGTTTTCTTAAGTTTATTGTCTGCCGCACTCACTGTTACATGTCATATTTAATAATTCAATAATTTTCCTGTGTTTAAACATCTCACCCCCTCTTACCACACCTTCAGTTACTGTAATGCCTATGAATGTTTTTGGTTTTTGATGGTTCCTTTTTCTGGAATTTAGTACAACTAAATTTGTTGCTTGGAGGATGGGGTGAACTGCCTCTTTCTTCTAATGTAAAGTTGTGAAATGCATTCTAATTCAAAGAAAAAAATATTTTTGTACTGCTATAAGTTTACAAAGGTAAATAAGATAATAACCAATAAACAAGTTACCTGAGAGCTCAGATGTCTTTATAGTAAGTGGAGTTGTTTGTTTTTGACATTTTTAAAAACACCCAATAAACAAAGTTTTCTGGTACCGAGTTATAAAATGATGGGAGGAGGGGTCAGTTTTTAGCTTAAATGGCCAGTGAAGCAATATGAATTCTTTGATTTTGAAGCCAGACTGAAGGCATTAATGACACCAATGCTCTTATGGGACTGGAGTATGTTGCTGACAGAGAATGCATTACAAAACCTTGCCATGTAATCCTCTTATTTCTATCAGATAAGATTGTTGGCTGGTTTAGATGCCCACCTTAATTCCAACTCAGCCTGGAAGATAATGCTTGTCATCACTCATCTCTAGGAAATGTTACACTATGAAGTATTGTATTCAGTGTGTGAGAGAGACTAATATATGATTTAATTCTACACTGTAAAAATTGTAGCATTATCCTGGCTGCAATCAACAGAAGTGGCTAGGCCAAACTTTACATTGCCTTCAGACTCTGCAATTTTATTTGCAGTATACAGTATTATTGAATGTGAATGCCTAGGTTGTCCTGTTTAGTGTTAGATAAAACATCACTTGACCTATGCACATATTTTTGGAAACTTACACTTTGATCAAAAAGTTACAAATTTAAAACATTTTGATTCAGATTCACAGACATCCTAATTTTTCAGTTTTCAGGATACTCGCCCATGATACAGCACTGGAAAAAGAGGGAGAGATTATGGATATGTTGATCTGACAGCCACTCAATATATCACAGTTTGCAATGTTCTGCCTTTCCCATTCTCTATCTGCATGCACATCAATGAGAAGGAAACATTTTGCTGTAAGAGATCTGTCCTTCCAGCCTGAGTTTATAACTGTGTACAACACACAATATTTGTTATTGTTGTACATTAAACTTTTATTGCAATAGTCTTCCCCAATGTGGCAGGAAAGGTCTTATTCTCAGCTACTTAGATCTACAATTCTCAAGGGCGGAAGTTTTGTCTGAGATTTCCATCTCTATGATCAGCAACTCGCCTCCCCGAGACCGCGTCTTCCTGTTGCGCGTGCGCACGATTGAGGTGGAGGAGGCGTGTCGGCGCGGTCTGGCGGGTCGGGCAAGATGGCGGTTGCCGGCGGGGGTCTGGGGGGCCCCGTGGAGGTGGCGCTGGTGGCGGCGGCGGGCGAGACCTCTTTGGGACCCGGTAGCGGCGGCTCCTCTTCGAACTCGTCGGGCAGCGGCTGCTGCTCGGTGTGGGAAGTGGGCTCCGGGGCATCGGTGGCCGGCTACCGCGGGGGCTGCTGCGCCCCCCGTGGGCTGACGCTGCTGGGCGGGGAGCACCTCCTCGGGGCGCAGCTCGGCAAGGCCTGCGTGGGAGCCTGGGAGCTCCAGAGGAAGGTAAAGCGGAGGATGGGGAGTGAGCAGCAGCTAGCGAGCCGCGCGACTTTCAGAGGCAGATATTATTCCGGGAAGAATGACTGTTCTCTCTCCTCGCCCTCGCTATACATTCCTACGCTATCGTATACTATAGTCGTGTATATGTATCTACACGCGTACACGTATAAGTATGTACACGTGCATATATTATACATACATGTGTGTATGCGTGCGCGCATGCACACACCTGCGTAACAATATATCCATTTATATTTATATTCTTTAATTTTATAGTCTGCTTTTCCCTCAAGAGTTCATGATGGTGGTCGTTTCCCTAGAAAGTAATATAATAGTCTGTCCTTAAGTTTTTCTCTACAATACAACCATGCCTAGTAGGTTGGGCTGAGAGAGAGAGTGGTCCAAAGTCAGCTAAGAGTTTTGGTGGATGAGGGTGGATTTGAACCTGGGTGTCTGAGATACAAGCCTTGCATAGAAACCTTGTTAAAAGTCGCGAGCTGGTTCCCCCACTGAAAATGCTAAAGCTCCTGGTGTAGAAATATCCCATAAGGAAATCTATCTCTTTGGGAAGTTGTTCCACCATTCCATGACTTCTCTCCACAGGGATCTTTGTTCCCAAGAGAGCTTCTCCAAGAACAAAAATCTTGTTAGAAATGTCCAACTGTATATTCCCTGTGGAAATTCTTCCCACTGTGCAAGTGTTTTCAAAATTAATCACTGACATAAGCTTTTTTCAATAGGAACCTCTTTTCTTAGCACCCTCCTAGTTCAAGCTTCTTAGTACCATGGCTCACATAAGACTCCAATAATAATTCTCCTCCTCACGTGCCCCCTAACGTAGTTATTCCTAGAAATGTTTCTGACATGAGAATCTCCCTCAAGATTCAGAGAGTCTCCATATTTTGTGCATATATGTAGAAGTTGTGTTTCTATAGTACGAGTTCGAGACACGTTGATCTCAAGAAACCACTTGAAATAGAATCTGGTTATTAATCTACCTAGCTTGTTATTGTCTAATGTGCTCTCTGTTAACAACTATCCAAGGTTTCAGGTAGGAGTCATTCACGTTCTGCTGGGCAAGACCAGGGATTTGAACTTTCTACCTGCAAAGCAGAAACAGTGAATTGCAATCTTTCCCTTTTCAAGAGAGGTGAACAATCTGTAACCACATGCTTCCCTCAGCCTGGTTTTGATTGAGACTTATGGTGAAGGCTAGCTTTCTGTACTTCACAGCCTGAGGTTTGGGAAAAAGAGGTTTATTTATCCAATTTCAGTGCCACCTAACTCCAGAACAACAGGTTGTATCTTCATATAATACCTTAACTCATGGTTAAACAAGTAATAATTTATTGAATTATTTATGAATTTATGAGTATCAGGCAGGGAGAAAAAAGGTGTATCAGGCAGAGAATTTATTGTCCACTGCCAATGTTTGTCTCTGGCCTCATCCACTCTTTGTTTCAGCCTTGCCCACTGTAACCTTAAAACTGATTACTTCCAAAGGAATATAGCCCTCAATTAAAAATCCTTTCACCTATTTTGTATGATACAAGCGCATGGTAGCAAAACCTATTTATTTGGTCGCCTGTGGTAGACAGTAAGTAATGGCTATGATCCTATTCAAATTCTGCATTATCCCATGTGCATCTGCCCAGGTTTTAAGATGCTTAAAAGAGGCTGTTCTGTCTTGCTGAGGTACATTTGGTAAGAATATAAGAGCATCTTCCCGAAGATTGCCTGTAGACTTTGGAACTCCTGATCAGGGGAGCCTAGGCTAACTCTTTTACCCCTCTGTTGAAAGACAAACATTTCTTTACATAAACAGATTTGCTGCTAGTACTCATTGTTATTTATTGAGTTCTGTTAATTCTTTCTGACTGGGTTATGTCAGCCCCAATCTGGATGCCCTGCCTAATGTGTAGACTTAAACTTCCAGAATTCCCAGCCAGCATGTTCAGTGCTGAGAATTCTGGAAGATGGAGTCTGCCTATCTGGTCAGGTACCAGTTTTGCAGAAAGGATGTTTCATTTGAGTTGATACAATACTTGAACTATAATTTGGTTATTTTATTTGTGTGTTAAAACTCCCTCATAGTTAATTACAAAATGATTGCA